TATATATATATATATATATATATATATATATATATATATATATATATATATATATATATATATATATATATATATATATGTATATATATATATATATGAAATATAGATGTTTTTGAAGAAGCAACTGGTCCTAATTACATACTGAAAGTATAGCATACCAAGACAATAGCTGTCTCATTTTAGAGGCTGCATCCTCTTTCGAAGTCCACACAAGCCAAACCAAGCATTTGGTTGTTGCTAGATCAGGTACGTTTGCGGTTGGAAGTTAACGAAAATTATTTAAATTATTTGTTAAATTAAACATTAATTGTAATTTATTATTGTCTACCCCCACCCCAACCTTAAACCCAACCGTCACAGTAACGTAAAAAGAGTAGTTGTACTAAGTATTATTTATGGTATCTATTAAATTACCCAATAAATTATATTTTATTAACGTCACCCCTAAACCCAACCCTCACAGTACTGTAAAAATATTAATTATTGTCATACAGTGTCATAAAAAATGTGGCTATTTTGATATCGCACTTCCAGCCGGCACTGTTTCTTAACTAGACTTTACCCAAACATTTTCAAATTAGAGGACCTAGCAACCGTAAAAGTTGCCATTAATAAGCGCTGATAAAATTTGACTATTTTTTTTTCTAAGTGATTTTAAAGCTTATTTTAAGCAATCTGAAGATGAAGCAAGGGTTATAAAGGTTGAACACGTATATTTCTTAGATTCATACATGTACACATAAAAATGTAAACCGTCTATAATATCACTTTTTAGTAAGACATGTCATATCCAAGTAAAATAAAGCCTAATTCATACATCTAATCCAGAGTTTTCTTTTAAAAATGTCCTGTCATTATCAGCGTGCAGAGAATTGAGGGGACGATTCACCAGTTGTGTTCTTCATCACATAGAAATATGAAGGAAACATTTTGGGGCTGCATTTGAAGGAGTCTTTGAATTTTTTTTTTTTTATATGAGGCAGCCTTCATCATGCTGCGATGACGCAGCGCCTTTCGAATGCATCTTTCAGAGGATGCAGCCTTTGAAATGAGACACAGCTAATGTTTTTATATATTTAATACCTTGTTTTAATGTGAACTTTAAAGTGGTATTTTTTAAAAGCTAAATGAATTGTATTGTCATTTAAACCACCAATTAGTAATGTTATATATTTTAGCCTCATGCACATTTTATCCAGTAACTCGCTTATAGTTCAATTTTGTTATTAAAATACCTTGTGATTGTGATTTGAGTTTCTCAACTCACTCTATACTAGACGCTGTGTAAATGTGTGATTTGTGTAATTTTGCTGGATCAGTTCAGGCAGGGCATTGCTACTTTAGTATTATGTTTGTACTTTTATAATTTGAATTATTTTGTTTTGAAGTTTTATATAATTTTTTAAAATTTTGGAATAGCTTTCTGTATTATTCGTATAAGTGCTTTAAAAAAAAGGGTGTCTGTGGGATCCTAAAATGTCAAAAACAAAATATTAGGTCTTTAAAAGCCTTCAATTCACTGAAGTATTGTGTTGTAGGTCTTATTTTTGAACCAGATTTTTGTCCAAGTAAAGCCACTCAATCGGGCCAACATCAATCCCGTGACCAACAATATATCTCTACAAAATCTCTTTATATATATATATATATATATATAGGTTTTTTATTTTACAGAGACACAACAGCTGTTAGACTTTTTTTTAAGCAAAGTCCCAAATTAAATAGTTTTTATTTTTATACTAAAACAATTAAATAAAAATAAACTGATTAAAAAAAAATAATAATAATACTACAGGGCCATTAGCAAAAATTCTTAGTCTTAAACCCTGTATTAGTCTTACATTCGACTCTCACTAGTCTTAAAAGGGTCTTCAAAAGTCTTAAATTTGACTTGAGAAAACCTGCAGAAACCCTGAGTTTGTACTAACAATTTTATTCGCTTTTATTTTTTTTTTGAATTATTTTTAATAGTTGATTTAATTTTTTTCTGAAGATATGTGGTACAATTTTAGTTTTTTTTTTTATAAAATTTCCATACTATTTATTGTTTTCTTTTTGTTAGTTTTTTTATTATTATTTATTATTTTTTTAAAGTACATTGCAATTTTCTTTGGAATTGTTTCGGAGCTTAGTTTTCAATAGCAGATGACACTCAGAATAAAGGATTTAAAATCACAGCATCCATGCAGAATCATTTCTTAATTCAATTGCATGGATTTTTCACCCCAGTCCTGTTCATTTATACATTTTATTACAGCTTTGATTAAATAACCTAAACATTTTAATTACAATAACAACACTGTGCAAACACAGATACAGGGACACTGGAGCGTTTTAAAGCTGCAAAGATTAATCAGTTCATCAGCGGATCGCTCGTACGCAGCTCATTGACTCACCAGCTGATCGACACGACTTTAAAACACTCCAGTGTCCCTACATCTATGTTTACACTTGGTAAACAGTGGTGAGTTCAGTGAACTGATGACCTTCACGGCCAATCACAATCATTTCTGTTGGAGCACATAAACACAAATCAGCGATGTCTAAGAATGTTAACAAGAAACGTTTTTGTTAGCAAGAAATAGACGTTTTTAAAAAAATTTTTGAACAATTGGTCCTGAAATTCAGTATTCTGACTACACAACTTGCAAACAAACATGCCATCAAAAATATTCCTTAAAAAACCATAACAAGTAAAAATTTACCACAGTTGTAAAGTGCTGGAAAAGTTTGAAATTCACCTGCAAAGTGCATAAAAAATGCTTAAATTTGACTCTGGGGAAAAAAGGTCAAGTAGAAGTAAAAACCGTGCACTTTTGACTTAAGGTGAGCTTTTACTTATCTCTATGTCTCTCTCTCTCTCTCTTTTTCTTCTGTGCTGTCCCTTTGCTCGGCCTGTCCTCGTCTGTTCTCCTCCACCCTAAACCCTTCCTGTGGGTCTGGCCTCTTTCAGGAGGTCACTCGCGCAGTAACAGTGGCAGCTCCGAGTCCAGCCTGCCCAACCTGGCCCGTTCCCTGCTGCTGGTGGATCAGCTCATCGACCTCTAGAGCCTACCCATTATTCCGGAGATGACGCCAGCCACCGTACACTGCTTACACCCCATTAAACCCCCTCATTCTCCATCCTTTGCCATTTCTGTCACCAATTTCTTCTTCCATTTTCAGTTCTTCCTTTGATGATTTTCGTTCCATTCTCGCTCATTTGATTTTTCCATGCCATTTACGTTCAGCTTGTGTGTGTTTTTTCTTCTTTTCCATTTGATTCTGGATCTTTTATACTGGAAATAAGTATTAAACTTGTCATGTTTTTTTTTTCATGGGAATAATATTTCTGAAGGAGCTGTTGCTATGGAATTGAAGCAGATTTAGGTGAAAACCCAAACAATACAAACAGAACTAAAACGAAACAAAAAAATCTGAAAGATGAATTCTGTGTAATAACAATGACACAAGGAGAAAGTACTGAACTACTGAAATGTGTTTAATACTTTATATCAAAGGCTTTTTTTGTGACGGAAGCTTAAAGACGCCTCTCATATGGAGAATGAAGTCACATGCATTGCTTAGGTTTGAGTTTTCCACAGAGTTTTCCAACAGAGTGTAAAATCTTGATGGTTCTGTTTGTCTCGTCTATCAAATCTAATCTTTATTTAGTATTTTTTATTGGATTTTAGTCAGGCGATTGACTGAGCTATTCAAGCAGCTTTATTTTCTTTCTCTGAAAGCATTTTAGAGTCTCCTTGGCTGTGTTTTGGATCATTGTCTTGCTGAAATGTCTTGGACTTTAGCAGCTGATTAATCGAAAAAAGATGGCGAAGATCTCGATTCGACCCCCTAGACGATATTAATCCAGCATTTCCACGATTCTGCCAATCTTATTTTCAAGTTCAGGAAGCAAAGGCGGCTGCACGAGTCTTTTCATTATTTCACACACATTGCTCAGCGACATGGACACCCCCAAATGATGTTAAAAGAGACACATACTGTATTTATAAGGTATAATTCACCTAAAATGTCATTGTTGTGTTCATATAATGCTGTATTCGCAGCCGGGAAATCACACGTGACGTGAGCTGCTGACGTGAGCTGCTGACTATACTTAATGATAGACGTGCGCGCGTTTACTTTAGTGAACAGAACCTGCAAATGCTGTGAGTAACGGGTAACAAAGTTGTAAATAATGTTTAGTTTGTAGCACAGAGTGGTTGTTTGAGAGCTGCACGCGAAGCATGAACAGCACTTAGCAGTGAAAATGAAACCGAAAACGTGCACATCATTTAAATTATCATATCGAATTTTAGAGTTATGACTGCGACCAAGCATTTGATACGTTTTTTCTTTCATAGCGAACACAGTTGTGCATGAAAATAAATGTTTACATTGTCAGTATAACTACTCTAGCCTATATAATGTTGATTTTACCAGTGAATTAAATGGTCTTATAATGTTCTCAATGACAGATTGCAAGTATAGGTCTACATCTCAAACATAATTCAACATCAGAATTATTAAATAGAATAGAATTATTCATAGAAACCAGTAG